ATGCCTTCAGTGCAGCTTGGACTAGTTTCTTCAGCATCATTAGTTCTTGATCATATGCAACTTCTTCAAATGATTGAACACTGACGTGTTTTTTTGACAATTTGTTTTTCATAAAGTGACTGCGTATTTCTTCCATCTTCTTTTAATGCTTTCTGTATCATTCAATATTTTCACAAAGACTCTTTCAATATAGCCACCTGAGTCTTGATTTTTTTTTTCTTTAGTTCTTTCAGTTTGAGAAATGATGAATATGTTCTTTCCTTTTGGGTTTTTAACTACAGCTCTTTGCACATTTCATTACAATACTTGACTTTGCGCCGCTACCCTTTGAAATTTTCCATTCACTCCTTGACTTCCTAATTTCTTCCATTAGCGTTAACATCTATAAGCTGGAGAGCAAATGTCAGTCTCTTTTCTGCCTTTTTTATGCCCTTTTGCTTTCTTCTTGTCTGGTCTTCAGTCATGAATGTCTAATGCATCAGTTCTGTTCCTGAGATGATCTCTAAATTCAGATGGGATATGTTCACAGTCCTATTTTGCTGTTGTGGACATGTTTAAATTTTTTTTAGCTTCAGCTTGCATATGAGCAACTGATGGTTTGGCTCCACAATTGGTTTCAGACTTTGCTTTGATTGATGATACTGAGCTTTTCCACCATCTCTTCCCACAGATACAGTCAATTTGGTTTCTATGTATTCCATCTTTCATGTTGTGTAAAAACGATATTTGCAACAAAGAAGTCATTGTTCTTACAAAATGCCATTTTCAGCATTATTTCTATCAACAAGGTCGTTTTCCAACTACTGAACCTTCCTCTGTTTGAACCTCTGCATTCTAATCACCAGTAATTATCAATATATCTTGATTGCACGTTTGATCAATTTTATACTGAAGAAGTTGGTAGAATTCTTCCAAAATAACAGATCTTGAAATGTTCTTTTTGATGATGTGGCACCATTCCTCCTGAATTTGTTATTCTCAGCATAGTAAACCATATGATTGTCAAATTTTAAATGGCCTAGATCAGTCCATTTCAGTTCACTAATACCTAGGATATTTATTTTTATGTGTAACATTTCATTTTTGACAACTTCTCCTTTTCCTAGATTCATACTTTGTAGATTCTATATTCCAGTTATTAAAGGATGTTTGCAGCTTCTACCCTCATTTTGTGTTGTGCTCCTTCAGCAAGTGAAGGTCCTGAAAGCTTTACTCTATTTGCATTACAATGGTCAACTCTACTTTGAGGAGTCAGCTCTTCCCAGTCATATTCTGAGTGCCTTCCAAATTAAGGGTCTCATTTTTAGCATTATATATGTCAACATTCTGGTACCATTCATGTATTCATCTTCTTCCAGCACTATATCTAACAATGTTTCATATATATTCACAGTGCTTTCATTGTTTTGCTATTCAGAAGTTGTTTGACTCTCCTTCTTTCAAGTCTGTCTTAGTCTGGAAGCTCTGATTAAGCCTGTCCACCTGGTGAACCTGCTGATGTTTACAATACCAGTGGCATAACTTCTAGCATCAGAGCAGCTCACAAGCCCCTACAGTATGACAAACTGACAGATGCAAGATAGTTCAATCTGTATGCTAAGCACATAATCTGAGAAGCTGGAATATATGAAAAAGAACATGGCATCAAGACTTGAGGAAGATGCATTAACAACCTGAAATATGCAGATGACACAATGTCATTTGCTGGAAGAGAAGAAGACTTGAAGTACTTGCTGATGAAGATCAAAGACCATAGCCTTCATTATGGCTTGAATCCTCAATCTAAAGAAGTGAAAATCTTCACAACTGAACTATTAAATAACATCAGGATTAATGGAGAAAGAAGATTGCATTTGACTTCGTTTTGCTAGGCTCCACAGTTAAGGCTCATGCAAGCAACAGCCAAGAATCAAAGGACATACTGCATTACGCAAACTTGCTGCAAATGACCTCTTTAAAGTGTCAAAGAACAAAGATGTCACAATGAAGATGAAGGTACACTTGATACAAGCGTATTATTTTCAATTGCCTCATATGCAGGCAAAAGTTGAACCATGAATAAAGAAGACTGGAGAAGAGTTGATGCATATGAATTATGGTGTTGGTGAAGAATATCGTGGACTGCCAGAGAATGAACAAATCTGTTCTGGAAGAAATACTGCTGGATTGCTCCTTGGAAGCAAAGATGATGAGACGTCATCTCACGCGTACTTTGAATACACTGTCAGGAAGGACCAGTTGATGGAGAAGGATATCACAGTTGGTAAAGTGAAAGGAGAGTCAACCAAAAGAGGAAGGCCTTCTCCTCCTCACCCCCAGTGAGATGGACTGACAAAGTGGCAGCAACAAGGAGTTCCAACAGTTGTGACGATGGTGCAGGACTGGGTAGGATTGCACTCTGCTGGACATGGAGTCACTATGAGTTGGCACCAACTCCAAGGCACCTAGCAACAACAACAATACTTGCGTATTTTTCCAGTGGGCACAAATGATTTTCATTTGACCCAATGCCAAGTAACATTAATGTGGGGAAGGTATTCTATAGAATAATTTATTAGGGGAAGTGGTCTACTTTATTATCTATATAAATAAAGAGTGCTGACCTTTTGGTCATTATGAGAACGCTAATCTTGAAATGGAAGAGGAAAACTAAACATCCTAGATATAATTATTCTAAAGATATGAACATGTAATGGAACTTAAAGTAGGTTAATTTGATGTGTTCAAGATTTTTTAATGTGTTTTACTTTTTAGCTCTTCTATTAACATGTAAAGGAGCTCTGGTAGCATAGGGGTTATGAACCGGACAGATAACCTCAAGGTTGGCAGTTTGAAACTACTAGCACGGTTTTACAGGAGAAAAATGAGACTTTCTGCTCCCATAAAGATTTACAACCTCGGACCCCCTGTGCAGGGTTGCTATGAGTCGGAACCAACCCACGGCACAGAACAACAATTGACATGTAATGAAAACATTATATGAGAAAAAACTTTTAAGGTCAACAATGAATCACTTCCATGAACAGAAGAACTATAGTGGTTTACTTTCTATTATATTAATGCCCTGAACAGATGTAGTCATAATTTAAAAATTACAGCAAGTCAAAAAGTTCAACATCCCGAACTTGTGGACCAACCTCCGCTGCTCTTCTCCATGGTCGCCCGAGGGAACAGTGAGACATTCATCCATGTGTCCATGGAGCAGCCGGAGAACATCACCACCAATCAGATACCCTAGGAAGAAGAGAAGTCATTTATTATTTTATCTGAGGCCATCTAGTCCAATTTATTTCATAGCTAGAGACACAGATTTTGGCTATGGTTCAGTCACTTGCCAAGGGCATGGATACAGATGGTTCCAGTTACAGCTTCTGAGCACCAAGTCCATGAGCTACACAGTCATCAACACTACCACTACAATATCTCAACTGCCATAAAGTCCTCCAATAAAAACACAAAAATGCATGGACTCAGATTTGAATCTACTTAAGTAAGAATAGCCCACTACTGCCCTTAAAACCAATGACTTCTTCACTGCAAATAACTTTCTTAAACAACATAAAAGACAAATATATACATGGACACCACCAGATGAAATCCACAAAAATCAAATTGACTCCATCTGTAGAAAGGCTCTGTGCCAACAGCCAAAACAGACCATCAACTACTCATATGCAAGTTCAGGCTGAAGATGAAGAAAATGAAAACAACTCCACAAGAGCCAAAATATGACTTTGAATATATCCAACCTGAATTTAGGGATCACCTCAATAAATAACAGATTTAATGCATTAGACACTAATGACCGAAGACCAGAAGAGCTGTGGAATGACATCAAGAACATCATACAGAAAGAAAGCAAAAGGTCATTAAGAAGATAAGAATGAAGGAAAAGACCAAAATAGATGTTATAAGTGACTTGCTCGCCAATGTAGAGACACTAAAGCAAATGGAAGAAATGAGAAGGGAAAAGAGCTAAGCAGACTATTTCAAAGGGCAGCTCAAGAAGATAAAGCCAATTATTATAATGAAATGTGCAAAGACCTGGAGTTAGAAATCCAAGAGAAGAATACGTTCAACACTTCTCAAGCTGAAAGAATTTAAGCATCAACTTGCGATACTGAAGGATTCTATGGGGGAAATATTGAATGATGCAGAAAGTATCAAAAGAAGATGGACAGAGTCACTATACCAAAAATAAATTGTCAATGTTCAGCCATTTCAAGAGGTAGCATATAGTCAAGAGTCAACGGTATTTAATGAAGAAGTACAAGTTGCACTGAAGGCATTGGCAAAGAGCAAGGTTCTGTCTGTTGATGGAATACAAATTGAAATACTTCAACAAACTGATGCAGTACTGAGACATTCACTCATCTATGCCAAGAAATGTTTAAGACAGCTACCTGGCCGCCTGACAGGAAGAGTCACGTATCTGTGCCCATTCCAACATGAGGTGACTCAATGTAATGCATAAATCATTGGAAAATATCATTAATATCACTCGCAAGTAAAATTTTGCTAAAGATAATTTTTAAATGATTGTAGCAGTACAATGACAGGGAACTCGGTCAGAGGCTCATGCCTGATTCAGACAAGTATATGGAAGGAGGGATATCACTGCTTACCTCAGGTGGGTCTTGGCTTAAAGCAGAAAAACCACAAAGATGTTTACCTGTGCTTTTTGACTATGCAAAGACCTTCGACTGTGTGGATCATAACAAGCTATAGATAATGTTGCAAAAGGGTATTTATGAACACTTATTTATGCTCATAAGAACCTATACATAGACCAGGAGGCAGCTGATCTAACAGAATGATGGGACACTGAATGGTCTAAAATCATAGAAGCTGTGTGCCAGGGTTGTATTCTTTCACCATACTTATTCAGTCTCTATGCTGAGCAAATAATCTTCGGAGATGGATTATATCAAGTAGAGCGTGGCATCAGGATTGGAGGAAGACTCATTAACAACTTGCAATATGCAGGTGATACAACCTTGCTTGCTGAAAGTGAAGAGGACTTGAAATACTTACTGAAGATAAAAGACTACAGCCTTCAGTATGAATTTCACCTCAATGTAAAGAAAACAGAACTCCCCACCACTGGAGCAATAAATAACACTGCAGAGAAAAGATGGAAGTTACCAAAGACTTCAGTTTGCTTGTATCCACACTGATAGAAGCAAATCAAGAAATCAAATGATGTATTGCATTAGGCAAATCTGCTGCACAAGACCTAACTAAAGTGTTGAAAAGCAAAGGTATCTATTAAGGGATAAGGTGCATCTGACTCAAACCATGGTATTTTCAATATTCTCATATGCATGTGAAAGTTGATCAATGAATAAAGTAGACCATACAAGAATGATGCATTTGAGTTGAGGTGTCGAAGGAGAATATTAAAAGTACCATGGACTTCCCAAAGAACAAGCAAATCTGTGTTGGAAGAGGCACAACTAGAATGCTCCTTAGAAGCCAGGATGGCCAAACTTCATCTTTCATACTTCAGACGTATTGTCAGGAAGGACTAGTCCCTGGAGAAGTACATTACCGCGCTTGGTAAAGTGGAGGGTCAGCAAAAAAGAGGAAGACCCCCAACAAGATGATTGGCACTGTAGCAGCAGTGTGCTCAAGCACAGAAATATTGTGAGGCTGGTGCAGGACTGGGCAGTGTTTCGTTCTGGTGTGCATAGTGTTGCTGTGAGTAGGAACTGACTCGATGGCCCCTAACATCTATAACAACAACAACAAACCATCAAGTAGATTCCAACTTGTAACCATTCAAAACACGTTTCTGAGGATGTAAATTTTTATGGGAGCAGAGAGCCTCATTTTTCTCCTAAGGAGAAGCTTGTGGGTATGAACTGCTGACCTTGGGGTTAGCAGTCCATTGCTACTGTGCCACCATACTCAATTAAGATAGAATGTTGTTGTTGAGTGTCACGGAAGCAGGTCTGACTCACAATGACCCTATTCACGACAGAATGAAACACTGCCTGATCCTGGGCCATCCTCACATTAGTTGTTTGTGTGAGGTTGTTGCCACTGTGTCAATCCACCTTGTTGGGGAGTCTTCCTCTTTTTAGCTAATGTCCTTCTCTAGAGACTAGACCCTCCTGACAAGATGCCCCAAATGCAGGAGAGGAAGTCTCGCCATCCTGACTTCTAAGGAGTAGTCAGGCTCTATTTCCAAGGCAGATTTGTTAGTTCTGGCAATCCATGGCATTTTCAATATTCTTTTCCAACACCATAATTCAAATATATGAATTCTTTACCAGTCTTCCTTAATCATCATCCAACGTTTATATGCATATGAGGCTACTGAAAATATCAAGACTTTGGTCAGGTACACATTCATCTACAAAGTGACCTCTTTGCTCTTTAGCACTTCAAAGTAATCTTTCGCAGCTGATTTGCTCAATGCAATATGTCACTTGATTTCTTGATTGTTGCTTCCATATGCGTTACTTGTGGATCGAACCAAAATAAATTCTTTGATAACTTCAATCTTTTCTGTCCATTTATCATGATGTCATGCGCTGTCCCAGTTGGAAGGATTTTTGTTTTGTTTTGTTTTTCATTAAGGTGCAATCTATACTGAAGGCTGTAGGCTTTGATCTTCATCAGTATTTCAAGTCCTCTTCACTATCAGCAGCATGGATGTGTCATCTGCATATCAAAGGTTGTTAATGAGCTTACTCCAATCCTGATGCCAAGTACTTCCTTATATAATCTAGTTTCTCAGCATACAAATTGATTGAGTATGGTGAAAGGATGCAATCCTGGCATACAACTTTCCTGCTTTTAAAACATCCAGTGTTCCCTGTTCTGTTAGAACAACTGCTTTTTGATTATATACAGCATCTTCATGAGCACAATTATGTGTTCTGGAATACCCATTCTTCACGTAATCCGTAGCCTGTTATGATGCATGCAGTACAATTCCTTTGCATAGCAAATAAAGCATAATTAAATATCTTTCTGATATTCTCTCTTCTCAGCCAAGATCCATCTGATGATAACCATACTTTCACACCCTCTTCTGAACCTGACTTGAATATCTGAGAGCTCCTTTTGATGCACTGCTGCAACTGGTTTTTAATTATAGTCAGCAAAATTTAACTTGCATTTGATTGTAATGATATCGATTGATGATTTATACTTTCTTGGGTCATCTTTCTTTGGGATGGGCAAAAATACGGACCTCTTCGAATTAAAATATTTCTGATATTCTCTCTTCTCAGCCAAGATCCAACAATGATAACCATACTTTCACACCCTCTTCTGAACCTGACTTGAATATCTGAGAGCTCCTTTTGAAGCACTGCTGCAACTGGTGTTTAATTATAGTCAGCAAAATTTAACTTGCATTTAATTGTAATGATATCGATTGATGATTTGCACTTTCTTGGGTCATCTTTCTTTGGGATGGGCAGAAATACGGACCTCTTCTAATCAGCCAGGTAGCTGTCTTCCAAATTTCTTGGCATAGCTGAGTGAGCATCTCCAGTTCTGCATCAGTTTCAATTAGTATTCTTGTCAATTCCTGGAGCCCTGTTTTTCAACAATGTCTCAGAGCAGCTTGGACTTCTTTCTTGAATATCATAGGTTAGTGATCATAGGCTACCTCCTGAATGACTGAACATCAACCAATTCTTTTTGGTCCAATGACTGTGTATTCCATTCATCTTCATTTGATATTTCACCCATTGTTGTTGTTGAATGAGGCTCAGTCATTTCCCACTTATAGTGACTCTACACAGGGTTTCCAAGGCTGTAAATCTTCGCAGGAGCAGAAAGTCTTATATTTTCCCCTCATTTTATTCACAGAATCTTTCAATAGTGTTACGTCAAGGCTTCAATTCTCTCTTCAGTTCTTTCAGTGTGAGATATGCTGAGCATGCTCTTCTTCCCTTTTGGTTTTCTACGTCCAGGTCTTTGCACATTCCATTATAATATTTGACTCTGTGTTTTCAAACTGACTTTTGAAGTTTTCTGTTTGGCTTTTCACTTCTTTCCTCATTTCTTATAGAAACTTTAGTTTTTCTGCACTCAAAAGCAAGTTTCATAGTCTCTTCTGACATTGATTTTTGTCTTTTTTTTCTTTCCTGTCTTTTAAATCACTTTTTGCTATCTTGCTATATGATGTTCTTGATGTCATCCCACAACTCTTCTGGTCGTTGGTCATTAATTAGTGTCTAATGCATCAAATCTGTTCTTGAGATGATCGTTAAATTCAAGTAGGATATATGCTCAAGGTCACATTCTGGCCCTCATGGATTTGTTTTCAATTTCTTCAGCCTGAGCCTGACCTTCAATATGAGTAACTGATGATCTACTATTCCACATTCTGCCCCTTGCCTTGTTTTGGCAGATGATATTCAGCTTTTTCACTGTCTTTTCTCACAGATGTAGTCAGTTTGCTTCCTGTGTATTGCCATTTGGTGAGATCCATGTCAATAGTCGCCTCTTATGTTGTTTAAAGGAGCTCTAGTAGAAGGAGCTCTGGTAGCGTAGTGGTTACGAATCAGGCTGCGAACCTTAAGGTCAGCAGTTCGAAACTACCAGCCACTCCACGGGAGAAAGATGAGGCTTTCTACTCCCGTAAACATTTACACCCTCAGAAACCCTGTACAGGGTCGCTATGGGTCGGAACCGACTCGAAGGCACTTAACAACAACAGTAGCATAGTGGTTATGAATTGAGCTGTTAATCTCAAGGTCAGCAGTTCGAAACTATCAGCTGTCCCACGGGATAAAGATGAGGCTTTCTGCTCCCGTAAACATTTACAGCCTCGGAACCCTGTACAGGGTCACTATGATTCGGAACCGACTCCACGGCACATAACAACAATGTTGTTTAAAAAAGGTATTTGCCATACCTGATCTTGCCAAATTCTATCATTAATTCTATCACTAAAGAAGGCTTCTGTGTTGTTAAGTGCTGTTGACTTGGTGCTGACTCACAGCAACCCTGGACAGGGTTTCTGCGGAACAGCTGGTTGGTTTGAACCACAAACCTTGTGTTTAGTAGTCCAGTGCTTCTGCTATAGTGCCACACCCGTAGGTTCGTGTCTAAGTCTATGAGTGTTCGTTTTTTTTAACGGAAGATTTTATCAAATGAAGGGTCTTTTGGTAGTGCAAAAGATTACAGATTTGAGTCCCGTCAGATGCACCTTGGAAGGAAGACTAGAGAACTGCTTCTGAAAAACCATCCACTGAAAACTCAATGGCACACGGTTCCTCCGACATACATGGGTCACCAAGAATCAAAACTGACCTGATGGCCACTAATTTAAATGGGAAGAATCAGAACACATGCAAATATTTGCCCGGAAAACCCCACTGTACAAACATTTTGGTGATAGAGTCATAAGGCATCAACCCCCATGAAAAATCCTGGCATTAAACTGACTGAGCAGTACCCAGAGATTTATAGAAAACCCTAGAAAATTTATAGAAAATTTATAGAAAACCCTAGAAAGTGAACCCAGAGCACACAGAAATAAAATAGAGAGCAGCATCAAAATCAGGAAAGATAAATCTTAATGCAAATGTAATGTTTAGAGAGCAAGTCAAAAGAGGTTACATGGCACAAACAAGCTTTCATTAATCATCAGCTTAGGATCACAATTCCAATAAATGATCCTCAACTTTGCATCAAAGAAGGGTGATCTCACTGGAATGGAAGTTTTACCTTGGGCAGCTTCACTTCCTGAGCTGATTGGGGCCACGCTCCAGAGGGTCTGCTGGAAGGCAGCATCCACATGCAAGTTGCCATTGCCATAGGACAAGTGCTATAGGAGAGGTAACAAGAGGCATCACTTTAGTCTCTAATACGCCTTACTACAGAAATGCTTTGGCCACTCCAATTTTTAACATCAGAGTTGGAATTGTACATAAACAAGACCTGTTTCAATGCTGTCTTTCAAAAATTAAGACATAGTGAGAAAATAAAATAGCAGCCCCATTTGAGCTTAGTAATTTTCCAGCTTCATTTTAAGAGTTACTACCAGAAACCTTATACAGGGTCGCTATGGGTCAGAATTGACTCAATGGCACTTAACAACAACAAACCTGGATCGTCAGCCAGCTCTGACTCAGCGTGATCTGTGTGTCACAGAAGGACACACTGCCCGTTCCTTGCCTTCCCTATCATCATGGCCATGCTGAAGTTCACTGGTGCAGCCACTGCGTCATCAGCTGGTTGAGTGTCTCCCTCGTTATTTTACCAAGCAACTGGGCTCTCCTGACATGTCTGAAGTAAGCAGGATGAAGTCTTAGCATAACTTCGTTCTCTAGTGCTGCTATGACAGTTAAGGACTTTAACAAACAGAAATGTATTCTCTGCCAGTCTGAGAGACTAGGAGTCCACATTCAGAGAGATGCTCTGGGGAAAGGTCCTTGTCTCCTTTCAGCATCTGTAGGCCCAGCATGCCTTGGAAATCTCCATGGGTCTTGGTATTAATCTTTCCCTGGATCTAGAAGCTTCACAGTGCAGGGACCGACCCCCCAGTCCAAAGCACACATTCCACTCCGGGCTCATCTTTCTTGGTGGAAGGTCCCTCCTACTCCTTTCACATCTCTCTCCTTTCATCTTTTGTAAAACAAAAGATGTTGTAGGCCAAGCTTCTGGGAAACTCCTTGTACTGGATTAGGGTTATAATAGGCATTTACCTTTCATCCTTTTGTTTGTCACATCAGATCATATGGAAATCATCACATAACTGCCACTTTACATCATTACGTAACAGCTAAAGTACTGAGAATCATGACCCAGCCCAGTTAACACCATCCTTGCTTCTAAGGTCCATTTTGGCTTCATTGTCTTTGAGATAGGTTTGCCAAGTCTTCTGGCTTGTTTGTGGTTTTTAACTGACATGCGGTTGTTCCAACTCTTAGGGATCCTTTAGAGTTTCCAAGGACCAGCTTGGTGGGTTTGAATAACCGCTTTGCAATTCAAACCCACCTTGCAGTCTGGTGCTTTATCATACAGCATCACACCAGGACTCCATTCTTCTATCAGCCACTATTCTTGGCCAATATCACAGGTCAAATACATCAGTTCTACTTTCATCCTTATTCATGGTCCAAATTTCACATGCATATGAGGACATCGAAAATACCACTGACTGGGTCAGGTGCACTTTAGTGCTCAAGGTGACATCTTTGCTTTTGAAAACTTTAAACAGGTCTTTTGCAACACTCCATTTGTTTTCTTGACAGCTGCTTCCATGGATATTGATTGTGATCCAAAAGAATGAAGTCACTGACATCAAAAACATCTTTTCTTTTCTTTTTTTAAATCATTTATCCATGACGTCGTTTATTAATCCAGTTGTAAGGATTTTCATTTTTTCTAGGTTTATATGTAATCCATACTGAAGGCTATAGTCTTTTGCCTTCATCAGGTGTTGTTAAGTGCTGTTAAGTTGATTCCAACTCAGCGACCCTGTATATACAGGGTTTCTGAGGAGCGGCTGGTGACCTTGAGCCACCCCACCTGATGATTCAACACAACCTTGCAGTACAGGGTATGAGCCCTCAGAGCCACACAGTGCTTCTAATTCTCTTAATTTCTGGCAACCAAGGTTGTGTAATTTGCATGTCTTAAGTTGTTAATGAGTCATCCTGGAAACCTAATGCCAAGTTCCTCTTCACACAGCATATCGTCTCAGATTAATTATTCAGCATACATGAAGGGGTGTCAAATGTCTATTGAAAAATTCTATTCTCTTTTAATTCAATTTTTGTTCTATTTGATGCCCTCATAGACTGACTTAGTAATGTGAAAGAATCCAACCAGATACCTACTCTGTACACTTAGTCACTTAGTATCCCCTCCTGTTCACACAGCTGACTTCCTGGGCTTCACCTGAGCACTATCAACTGTTTTGTAATTCTGTTTCTTCACAATGTTATCCATACTGTACTATAATTCCCACAGTCGAATGAATGCCTTTTCAGTCAATAAAATACAGTTAAATATCTTTCTGACATTTTGCAAAGTTCAGCCTATCTAATAGCCATTAGATGGCGATATTTCCTAATACCTAAAACCAGACTATATACAGTTTACATACTAGAGATTTCAATTTCCCTTCTTAAAAACAGACATTTATCAAAATAATATATTTTCTACATGGAAAGGCAAAATATTTGTACCATCAAATGATAGCTAGAGCAAAACTAATGGGCACTATCAAATGTCTGCGGATTTGATTAATCACCCTTAGGCCGCTTGTCCCCTGTTTGCTTACAGTCTTGTCAGTAACTATTACCAATATCCTTGTGATGTTTCTGCAACACTTTTGCAACACTGATGACACTCGTTAGAAACCTATACAGGGTCACTATGAGTTGGAACCTACTCAATGGTCCTTAACAGCAACATTCACACTATTAACCTTCCTAGGACTGTGGCCATCCTAGTTTTAGGCACATCAGTCATAGCATGAAGTAATCATCCTATTTGTACGATACAGGATTTCCATGCCCTAAAAGGCTCTTTTTACCTAAGTATAGTATTCTCAAGTCACTCATATGCACAAGTATTTCATTCTTTTTCTTTTAAAAACTGAAGAAAGTCTGGACATTGTGACATGTGCACAGATATTTTATCAGTAATGTTTCCAATGGTGGGCTTAAAAGATTACCAACTGAACCATCAGATTCAGCAATAATTGGCTCTTACCCCCTTCCTTATCTTAACTAATGTCTGCAATTTCACAATCATTTCTTCAACTTACCCTTGCTACTCTTAAGCATAATCCCAACCTAGGTTCCTTTATTGACAAAATGTGCTCTCCCAGTATGCTGTGTTTCCTATGTACTACCTTAGCTCTCTAGTGCTAAGGCAGAACTAGATGGGCATGGAGCACTTTCCCCTCAGCTTTAGGCAGTGGGCCCCATTATCTTGGTCTGGTACCACACTCTCAAGTTGAATCAATTAATAGCTGGCTCTTGGAAACCTATGAGGTCTTGACGCTACACTTTCAGACCCCAGAGGCCATTGTCCCAAGTTTTGAGACTAAGGAAGCTCTGCTTTCTACAGTCCTTCCAATAGTTTTGATAATCTTCAAGATACTCCAGGGAAGGTTGTTTTGTTGGAGTACAGCAGATGTAGGTCTTTGGACCTCTTTTTTGAGAGTAGAAAGCCAAGAGGCAGATAGCATCCTCTCTCTTCATGTTCTCTCTGCCCCCTTCAGTACAGGTTGATGAATTTTCAGCTGTGGTAGTAGGTTAGATCCATCAGTCACAGGCTTAATCTCTCTAACCAAAGACTGCACGACACTACACCCTTGATGAAAATTCTAGGTTACACGTTCTTATTGCGTACAACACTATCTTCAAAACCCCTGAAGTTTTGTTTTCATTTTGTACATGAGAGTTGATAGTGAATCCAGACAACATGAAGTGTTTGACAACTTTAATTTTTTCTACATTTATCATGATGTTATTCTTTGGTCAAGTGGTAAGGATTTTTGCTGTCTTTACATTGAGATGTAACCTATACTTAAGGCTGTGGTCTTTGATCTTCATCAATTAAGTATTTTAAATCCTCTTTGCTTTCACAAGTAAGGTTGTATCATCTGCATACTGCATGTTGTTAATGAGCTATCCATACTTTGTTATGATCCACACAGTTGAATGCCTTTGCATAGTGAATAAGATACAAATAAACATCTGTCTAGTTTTCTCTGCTTTCAGCCAAGACCCATTTGGCCTCAGCAATGATGTCAGTAGTTCCACATCCTCTTCTACATCTGGCTTGAATTTCTTTTCTAGCAGACCCTATCACTGTACTGCTGAAAGTATTTTTGAATCATCTTCAGCAAAATTTTACTTACCTGCAACATTAATGATCTTTTTCAATGATTGCCTCATTCTTTTGTGTCACCTTTTTTGAAATGGGCACAACTATGGATCTCTTACAATCAGAACATGGCCAGGTAGCCACCTTCCGACTTTCTTGGCATACAATGATTGAGCTCCATCAGCAGTGAATCTATCTGTTTGTGGAAATATTTCAGTTTGTATTCCATCAATTCCCAGAGCCTTGTTTTCCAACAATGCTTTCAGTGCAGCTTGGACTTCTTCCCTTAATACCATTGGTTCTTGATCAGATGCTACTACTTGAAATGACAGAACATTGACCATTTCTTCTTGCTACAGTGACTCTGTGCATTCCTTCCATCTTCTTTTGACACCTTCCTGCATCATTCAATATTTTGTCCACAGAATCCTTCACCATTGCAACCCAAGGCTTTAATTTTTTCTTCAGCTATTTCAGCTTGAGAAATGCTGAGCATGTTATCTCTTTTAGCTTTCTGATTCCAGGTCACAGCACATTTCATTATAATATGTTACTTTGTCTTCTCAAAGGATCTTTTGGAAAATCTCTGCTCAGCTCTTTTATTTCCTCATTTCTTCCATCCACTTTAGTCTCTCTACTAAAGTGCAAGAACAAGTTTCAAAGTCTCTTCTGACATCCATTTTAGTTTTTCCTTTCTTTCTTGTCTTTTTAATGACCTTCTTGCTTTCTTCATGTATGTTCTTGATGTTATGCCACAACTCCTCTGGTCTTTAGTCATTAGTGTCTAATGCTTCTAAGCTGTTCTTGAGATGGTCACTAAATTCAGGTGAGATATACTCAAGATCGTATTTTGGTTCTCATGGACTAATTTTAATTTTCTACAGCTTCAGCCTGAAACTGCATACAAACTACTGATGGTCTGTTCTAGTCTGCCCCTGGTCTTGTTTTGACTGATGATATGGAGCTTTACCATCATCTCTTCCCACAGATGTAATCAATTTGATTCTTGTGTATTCCATATGGTGAGGTCCACAAGTATAGTCACCAATTATATCATCGGAAAAAGGTATTTGCTATGAATAAGTCGTTGGTCTTACAAAATTCTAGCATGAAATCAGCATCATTTCCATTACAAGGTTATAGTTTCCAACTCCTGACCCTTCCTCTGTTTCCAACATTCTCATCGCAATCACCAATAATTATCAATGCACCTTGATTTCTTCTTTCATCAATTTCAGAGTGAAGAAGTTGGTACAATTCTTCAGTTTCCTCATCATTGACATTAGTTGTTGGAAACAAATTTGAATGACAGTGGTATGAACTGATCTTCCTTGTTGCTATTAAGTGCCATCCCGTGGGTTTCAAAACATTAGCTACCTTGTATAGTAGGGCTTCTGACATTGTAAATCTATCGGGGAGGAGAAAGTCTTATCTTTCTCCAAGTGGAGTGGTTGGTGGGTTGATAGACTTTGTGGTCCACAGTCCAGTGCTTATCATGGATACCATCCTATCACAGACAGCAATGACTTCTAGAGAAATCTTGAAATGTTCTTTTTGATAATGAATGTGACATCATTCCTGTGCAATTTGCCATTCCTGTTATAGTAAGCCATTGTTGTTATTTTTAGGTGCTATCAAGTCAGTTCTGACTTATAGTGAACTTATTCACAACATTGCCTGGTCCTGAGCCAGCATCCTAACTGTTGTTATGTTTGAGCCCATTCACTGTCCAATTCTAAGCAATCATCCATTTCAGCTCAGGAAAGCCTAGAATATCAACCGTTACTCATTTCATTCTTGGTGACTTCCAATTTTCTCAGATTTCTACTTTGTACAATCCATGGTCTGATTATTAATGGATGGTTGTAGCTGTTGCTTCTCATTTTAAATTGTGCTCCATCAGCAAATGAAGGTCTTGAAAGCTTTAGTCCATTTATGTCATTATGTATGGTTAACTCTACTTTAAGGAGGCAGCTCTTTTCCAATCATATCTGAAGTACTTTCCCACCTGAGTGGTTCATCTTCAGGTGCTATATCAGACAGTATTCAACTGCTATTCCAAAGGTTTTTCATGGCTAAGCTTTCAGAAGTGGCCTACCCTCCCCTTCCTCATCTTAGTCCAGAAGCTCAGCTGAAACCTGTCTGCCATGGATGACTCTGATGGTATTTAAAAGAGCAGTGGCATAGCTTCTGGCATCACAGCAACAAATACGCCACTACTAGACCACAAACTGACAGTGACTTTTATCATTAGATGCCTTCAAACTCTTCCAGCCTCTACCCATTATGCAATTCCCAAACTACGCTCACACTTTAGATACCTGCAGAATCCCCACTCCAGGTACCAAAATCTGCCTAAGTAAGTTATAGTGCTGTTATAACAGAAAAAACACAAGTAGATGTCTTTAACAAAAGAAGTTAATTTTCTCACAGTTTAGGAGGCCAAATATCAGAATTCAGAGCACTAGCTAAAGGAGAGGGTTTTCTCTCTGTAGGCTCTTGAGGAAAGTACTTGTTTCTCTAAGCTTCTGCTCCTAGAGATTTTCATGTGGCTTAACATCTGTCTTCTGCTTGCTTGCTTAATACTTTTACATCTCAAAAGAGATTGACTCAAGATACACCTCACATTAATCCTGCTTCCTTTTCATCATCATCACAAAGACAAACCATTCCTAAAGAGGACTATACACAAGCATACAAGTTTACAACACATATTTGTAGGGGACATAATTCCATGTGGAACATTTACAAATGAATCAAATCTCATTTGTTTTCACAAAAAGTAACATACATGTTCCTTCAGAGCAACTTTGCACAATATAAATATTTGTCTTATATATTTTACTTTTCCTTCTGGCTCTAACAATCTGCCTGACAGTTGGTTCAAACCTTTTACTCCTAGCATCTAACAGTATTATTCAATAAAAAAGGATTTACAAAAGTCAACCAAATCTTTAAAGATCAAGTAGCATAAAGCACTGAAATGTAGTTGAAGCTATTCCATAAATATTGCTATTTTAATGCTTATTTGACAAGCTGTCACATAGAGCTGTACACACGTGTCCTAAAAATGTGCCCAGTTCCACCTACAGTAGTTGTTAAACAAGAGTCCAGAGCCGCCAAGCCAGGCCTCCCATTGCTGAGACACTCAGCAGCCCACCTCACTGAACAGTTAGCTCCCTGAGTTAGGTGCCCAGTTGCTCAGCAGTTTACTGTCTTCATTTCTTCTCCAGCATCACTTCTTCACACAGAATGAAACATACCCCTCTTATTAGGAATGTTTCAAAATGGTAACGAAATGCCTTGGAAGACAAAAATGGATTTTAACACCCTCCAATTCCACCTCCTGGCCATGTTCATAGAGAAAAGAGGGACCAATCACTTTTTAATTATAAATTAATCACCTACTCACAAATATTTAAATGTATGGCAGTGGCAATACACTTTTTATAATTCAGTCTGTGCCTTAATTTGGTAGTTCTGATTTTTATTTCACTTTGATTATAGGATATTTTAATAAGGATATTCATGCAAAGTCTATATGCTCCTGTTTTATATTTATGTTTTCAACCAGTTACTACAATATTATTTGCACTGACACTCTTTATAGTTCTACTGACTTCAATATACTGCAAGCTTTTGTATATGATTACTTTAGCAATAAAACAATTAAGGAGCTCTGGTAGCGTAGCGGTTACAAAGCTCAAGGTCAGCAGTTCGAAACTACCGGCTGTTCCGTGGGAGAAAGATGAAGCTATCAGCTCCCGTAAAAATTTACAGCTTCAGAAACCATGCACAGGGTCACTATGAGTTGGAACCGACTCCACAGCACATTACCACCACCACCAAATAAAATTAAACAAATGTATGCCAGCCACCCAATATTCACTTATTAAACATTCTCCATCTCCAAGTCCTACCCTTTGAAGTCTACCAATGTCAGTGACCAGCAAACTTATTTTGTTGATTTTTCCATTTTCAGCATGCAAGTATTTCTCAAATAATAATTTGACTTCATAAATATCAAAATAGGTAATCACAACTTCATTACTATTTCCTTTTCATTGGGCACAAAATAAAAACTATGTAATTTTGAATTCTTGATTCGTCTGCATTTACATCTAATTCATAAAAGAATCTATGAGCATGCATATGAAGGTCATGAGGACAGCCTGCTTATTATGAGCCCAAGAAGGGCCACTTCTACACGTGCCATGTTATTTGCTTACTTAAGGAGTTATTTCTAATCTATCCAATAGAGACACAAGCTTGTGTATAAGCAACTGTCATAGATCATCTGAACTCTAAACCTCAGAGACCACTTCATTGACCGGCCACCAAGGAAACAATCTGATTTTCGTACTCACCAAGTATCTTTCAGAGGACACGCTAACTAAGATGAGGTCATCTCCCACTCGGACCTTCTCTCCTTCTGATCGCTGCTTAGAGGCAGGGTGTATCGTCCACCAACACGCCTCACCTGCAGAAGGATTGAAAAAGGAAACGTGGAGAAGGATCTCTAATCTACTGCCTTTGCCAGTGGACTCCAAAATATTTAAAAGGAGGAAAAATGAATGAAAGCTTCAACTGTTTCATTCACACAAATTTTAAAAAATTGAATTAATCTCTTAGACCATGAATTTTTTTTTTTAAATTAAGATAAATTACCTTGGGATGAGACATAATGAAATGTTTCTCATATAAACTGTTTGTGACACTTTGAGAACTTTGGTTCTCCGAACATTGCTTAAATAAACAACAACTATACTATCATAAGGTCAAATTCACTAGTCATGCTGATGAGATTGTATTCTTATACAGCCATACTTCTCACGTTTCACTCTGTAATAATATGTTGCCTTTTTGTCATTCGGTTTTCATAAGGGCTTGAGATTTGATAGTGCTACAATTGCATTATCACAATACAAAAAAACTCAGTGCTTTTCTGGGACTCTGATTTGTAAAAGATGCAAATGTTACCATCTAAAAATTTACTAAGCACTCACATATAAATGGAAAAAGAAAAAAGTATGATGCATTTGAGTTATGGTTTTAGAGGAGATTATTTAGCGTACCATAGACTGATAAAAGAATAGATGTGTGTTGGAAGACATACAGCCCGAGTGCTCCTTGGAATCCAGGATGGCCAGACTTTGACCAACATATTTCACACGTGTTGTCAGGAGGGACGAGTTACTACAGGAGATCATGTTTGGTAAAGTGGAGGGTCAGAGAAGAGGAAGACTCCCAAGAAGATGGATTGGCACAGTGTCAGCATCAATGGGCTCAAAAGTAGCAACAACTGTGAGGTTAGCCCAGGATGGGGCAGTGCTTCGTTCTGTGGTACACAGGGTTGCTATGAGTCAGTACCAACTCGATGGCACCTAACAACAACAACATGGAACACTGACAGTGAGAATATAAGTAAGGATAATTTTCTCCTATTTCCATCCTCTAAAAGGACAAATGTGCTAATATATGCATTTTTTATTCAAAAATATGTAAATGGTTTGAACAGTTATATAGAAAATAGCATGGGGCAAGAGATGAAGACTTTCATGGTCTACTTTTTCATTCAAATGTTGACACTGAGTATGTTTTCTTTATATATTTAAAAACATTTTCAGATGAAGAACAAAAGTGGTTTGTAGCAGCACTTCCTGAACTAAGCAATACAAATGAGTATGGATGGCACTCATCATATATCATTAATAAGTCCTAATTTTCTATTCAAACCATAAAAAGGAAACGGTTAAGGTCTAGTTTTAACATCCAGCTAGGTATGTGGGAATGATCAACAGAAACAATATACGGTTTCTCCTTCTGCTAGAAACCTTCTTCAGAAAGGCATTCATTTTTTCCTGACTAGCTGAAGAACATTCATCTAGCGTATCGTCTATCATGTCTCATAACTTGTCCCAGCACCCTCTCTGAATGCAGCACCATCACCTGCTAAGGAGCTCACCTGTTGTGTCCTCTTGCAAGCCAACATCAAAGGCCAGTTTATCCGTTGAAGACCGGGAGGTGGACAGGCAGCACAGATACTACAAAACAGAATCAGTGGCTGCCATTAAATATTTATAATCATATCTGTGTCTTATTCTGCACAGAACTTAGCATACGTATGATAAACACTGGACTGGGAACCACAAGGTCCACGGTTTGAGCCTGCCAGCCACTCCGTGGGAGAGAGAGGAGGCTTTCTACTCTGGAGAAGATTTAAAGCCTCAGAAATCCTGTGCAGGGCTGCAAAGAGTTGAAACCAACTCATTGGCAACAACAATCTTTGCTGTATCAGTCTTGTCCTTCAAAGCTGGATGTTTTTGGTGCAACATCCAGGTTTCTAGGTATCCAAGAGGTACAACAGCATTACACAGCATTCATCAGGAGCAAAGTTCTAAAGGAAATGTGCTCTTTTTTTTTCACATCAAAGATGTACACACTGGGCTCTGTCAGTAAACAAGAAGAGGAGTCATAGAGATATGTCTGTTCATCTCTAATTTCATATGACATTCGTTATCATCAGAGAAAGCACAACCTTATCTGACAGTTGGAACTCTTCCTCCCACACAGAAATTTGAAAATTATTCATTGTTATCTTCTAGTTTTGTTTTCATTAAAAAAAAACCTTAACCCTTGGAAACCCATCCAGAATTGACTCTGCTGTTGCTGGCGACAGCATCTGCAAGTACTGAGAAGCTGTGGCC